CAACACTTGAGTTTGTAACTTTAGTTTGTAACATTGGTGCATTGCATTTTCCTTTTAGTTTGTAATTTTAATTAACTTTGAATTGGATTTTTCTTTTTTGTTGTAACTTTAATTCATTTTGCTTTGCATTTTCCTTTTGGTTTATAACTTTAAAGGATTTAGAATTGGAATGCTTGAGAAGTTTAAATTTAATTGGAATGCTTGGAATTGTAACTTTAATTTTCTTAGGTTGTGAATGCTTGAGAAGTTGAGAAGATTGTGAATTTATATATGTTTGAGAAATTGAGGTTGTGAATTTATATTTTTGTGAATGCTTGAGAACTCGCGGTTTTAAACCGCAAAACGCGGTCGGTTTGCGGTTTCAAAAATCACTAAACCGCAAATAGTCGGTCGGTTTGCGGTTTGAGTAAAAATTCGCGGTTACCGAACCGCAACCACCCCTAATATAAACAGTATTTTTATTTTTCGGTCAACCTATGAAAGTATATAATTGAGTCTTGATTTGGAGAAAAACTTACTAATATCTGAATACTTATCAATACCGGGTTGTATGCTCATTTCTTTTTATCTTTTTATTAACGTAATCGAAAAAAGACAAGACAAAAAATAAAAGAATATCAGAGTATTTTGTATGGGTCAATTGTCTTTCTCTTTATTTATCCGTTTCGGATGAGCTTATTAATATAAAAAAAGATCTTGAGTGACACAAAAGAAAAGACATAAAATGAAAAGTGAGCAAATGCTCCAATTCATAGGCTTTGCAGTTCTGTTGACCAAATCTACAAGCTTGATTGATGAACAGGCTTGTTAGAACTGCTTCAAGAACAAAATTAGTGCCTTCAGAAGGCTTGTTCTTCAGGCTCAGTGACCATCCTTGGGCTTGACTACATTAGTCTCCTTCTCCTTTTTCTTGCCCTTACCTATGTTTTTAGGCTTAGGCTTAGGCTTTGTAGGGGAAGAAGAGCCTTTCTCAAAAACAGCCACAGCCACAGTCCCACTCCCACTCCCACTCTCCTTCTTGGAAGTCTTTCCAGGTGTGTCAACTTGTCAAGCAAGTTCAATAGCTCAGCAAGAGTGTTTGCGCATTGCCTACCTTCACAACATCAAATGTTTTGAAGCAAACCTCTTAAAAAATAAACAAATACTTTGTGTTCCCCATATTAGGGTGAAGGGCAGGAGAGAGAGAGAGAGAGAGAGAGAGAGAGAGAGAGAGAGAGAGCATAGGAAATGTTTGGTTTTTATATCTTTGGTTGTATTTGGCAGATAAAGCCACTTGTGAGGAGCAAGAGGTTCCCACTATCTGGTTTGATGGCATCTTGTTCGGTATGTGTAGTCGTAGTAGCTGGCTGTTGTTGTAATCTTTGATTAAATTGTTTGTTGTTAATTTGTCTTCCTAGTTTGGTTAACCATTATTTTTATTCTTTTGGTTGACTTATGAAAGTATATAATTGAGTCTTGACTCAGAGAAAAACTTATCAACATTCGAGTACTTATTAATACCGGGGTGTATGCTCATTTCTCTCTATCTTTTTAGAGTTAATCGTTTTATTAGTCCTTAAACACGGGAACGATTTTGGAAATTGAGAGACTCAAATACAAATCGGGTCTAAGTTCAGGGATGAATAAAACAATTAACCCATCTTTTTATTAATGCAATTGG